CTCTGGGCTGTCTTCCTGGCTCTGAAACTCCAGACAGTGGAGCCAAAATGTATTTTAGAAAGATGATAATTACTGCCTAGAATTCTGGGCAGTAACTTGCTGCATGTTTGCTTTCAGTGATTGCTGTGTAATTTTAATTTTATGTAATAAAGAGTGGAAGTGAGCTTAGTATAAACCCGGATGCGATGAGTTGGGCTTTGCATTGCTGTCGTTCCACTGTGATCAGAGGAGGTATGTTAGGAGCTGTTTTAGCCCGGGAGTCAGATGTTGATGGAATAACAGTAAAGGAACTTTTTGTAGGTAAAGAATTAAAGACAGATTGTAAAAGTGAGTAACATTTTAACCAAGAGTTGTTGAAAGGATGCAGAGTAAATACCAGAAAATTATTTGGGTTAATTAGAAACTACTCTATCACTCTGAATATGTCTTTAAGGAGTAACTGAGTTTTGTCAGATGAGGTGGATGAAGGCCGTGTATATACATTCACTTTCAGCTTGATGGGAATGTCTGGAGTACAGTTGCTGTCTAACAGGGATGCTAGAAAACAGCTGCAGTTGTGGCTCTGATTCGCAGGAAGACATTAATGGGAATATCAGCAGGGTTGTGTTTTAATCCTTCCCAGGCTCTGTGCTTCAAAGTTCTTTTCTTAGATCACTTTAGTCACATAGGCAAAGTTGTGCCCCAAGGGGCTTAGTAATTACTCCCTCTTTTTTCTGGAAGTACAAAAAAATCGTGTCTTTAGTCTATGGTAACTCCTTAGTTTTGGCTGACGAAGCTGTTAGTGTAAAAGAGAATTCCCACAATTCACTCCTCTTTTGTCTGTCCTAGAGCTGTTTACAGCGCTCCTTCAGAGCTGAGGTCTTCACCTGCCCTGCCTGCCGCTACGACCTGGGGAAGAGCTACACTATGGTTCCTAACAAGATCCTGCAGACCCTGTTGGACCAGTTCTTCCCTGGTTACAGTAAAGGACGATGATGTGCTCAGATCCTTCTGAACTCCTCCCAGTGACTTTATAGACAGTTAAGGAGAATAAACGTGGGAAATTCAACAGTGGACCAGCCAGCTTGATGGGACTCAATATGTTGTCACATTTTGAAGCAGCTCACCCTCTTCCCCTCATAGCCATCTTTTTGGTGTAGTGAGATCTCTTAATTCTCGGCTGTCTTTTAACATCAAAGGGTAGTTTGGGCCAGTTAATGAATAGTTTTTAAAGAAAAAGATGAAAAGCTTCAGCTCCCACTGGCCTAGCTGATGCTTGATTTATGATTTGTTTTGGGTTTTTTTTGTAACTACCTCAGGACAGAGGAAAATAAATTATGGGGATGACAAAAAGTTAGCGAATTTTTAGCTACACACTGCCTCCTGAATAATAGTTGTGCCTGGTCCGTGTAGTTTGATTTACAAAAAAAAAAAAAAGGAAAAAAAAAGAAAGAGGAAAAAAAAAAACAAAAAAAACAACCAAAACCAAAACAAAACCCCACAAAAACAGCAAAAAAAAGAAACAGCACTTAAGCCAGCTGGAGTAAAGAACAGCAAATTATGTGGTGTGCATAATCCTTTTTTGTCTTTTTTCTTCCATTATGCTGTATTTTTTTGCAAGAACAGGCTGATTTTTAGTCTATTTTTGTGAGCTTCATTGTGCTTTTCTTGTATCTTATGCAAGTTGACTACTAATGACTAATGAGAACAATATGAATGCATTGTTGCTACATTAGTGTAAAGTGATCTGTGTTTTTTGCACTTAAGGAGGGTATTCAAGACACTCTAGTTGTGTAAAAAATATTTCATATAAAGAACTGCCACTTCTGTATTAGTTAAACTGTATGCTTTTAGTAAGTCTTGTATCAGTGGCAATACATCTACACAGCATTGAAGGCAGTGCTAGCTTGGAGAGGGTTCAAATCGCTTCATATTGTGATCTGAAATTTTATATACAATATATCTCCCCCAAATATACCTTATTAAATATTTTATGATTCAGAAAAATCGCTAATTTTGTTTTCACTATTATCCTCTTATGTCAATTATATTTTTATAGCAGATTTTTTTTCCAGATTGCTACATACTTTCTTTAGATGGGTGGCTTTTTTTCTAAGCTTTATATTCCTGTCATTTATTAGTTATTTTAAAAAAAAAAAAAAAAGAACAACCCAACAACTCCTGTACAGCAGCAGCTGTCGTAAAGCTGCTCTGGTCTCTGCTGAGCATCTGTCTGAAGGAAAGCTGGTGCTGGATTGCACTCCATGTGCCAGGGAGCAGTAAGGCCGCTCTGCCCGCAGCCTGGTGCAGTTGGGTGCTGCCCTCTGGTCATTCATAACCACTCACTCAGATGTTGGTGATATTTGGCTTTTTCATGGCCAAAAGTCAGTTTAGTGGCCTACTCACGTCATTCCAATGAACTTACCCTACCCCCATTTCTCCTCAGGAGGCCATTAGCATACAAAATGTTGGTAGTATCTCATAATATAACAAAAATCAGGTTGTTGAGCAGTTTGGCTTTTTCTGTGCTTATTAGAATGAACATTCTTTGTGCAGTAGGTGAATTAGTATCAAGCATATGCTTCATAAAAGCTATAAACAGTCTTACATCCTGTTGAATTCTGTGTTTTACAAAGTGGTAGCTCAGCATTTTATGGGGAAACAGATGTAGTTCAACCTCTGTAAGGATGGTATGCATTTTTGCAGTAAGCAAAGATGCTTTTTTTCTGTTCAGTAGCTTTTATCAATTGAGGATTATGTTTAGTAGCTATGCACCATTTGGAGAGAGAAAGCTCTTACGACTGTGCATAGGAACACTTGATTTTTAATTTGTGCCCCAGTCTAACATGAATGTTGGTAGCATTTTTAGTATTTATTATGTGAATGGTTACTTTTAAGTGAGTAGTTCAGATCTATGTTTGCAAGTCTTATCTTATAAAAACTTATTTTTAATGCAGAACAATTAGTAAATGTCATCTTCTAGGAAATGTGGTTATTTCTGACTTCTATTAATTACTTTATTGTTATTGAGTTTGCTGCTGATTTACCATCAGCTACAGATTTGTCAGTTTAAAGACAACAGTGGAGATTTCATTACTTGATACAAATGTGTAAAAAAAAAAAGATTTTTAATGTCTTTATCAGACACAGTTAGCAGACATCATCAGGCACCATGAAAGTGCCTCTTTACCAAACGGTAAAAGTAATTTGGGAAGGCTTTGTACAGTTAGCTTGGTAGGTCCGAATGCCTGTCCGTTCCTCACACTGCAAGTGGTGCTTATGGCAGTGTTTTGGTGTTTCATATCTTTTTATCTCTTCCCCCTTTCCCAGTGCTACAGCAGTAGCCTGAAGAATAATTGCCTTTTCAGAAATAGGTTTTACATTAGAAAATTCTAATTTTCTCTCCATATGTAGACGTTTGGGGACCTATGTGCAGATAAACCTGGCCCAACCTTCCTTTAATGGAAGCCATTCCTATCATCTTTTGTTCTGTTTTTCTGGTTAACTAATTCCACATGAAAGTCCTATGGAAAGTAATGTAAACGTTGCAAAGCCAAAACAGAAGAAGTGCAGTACTTGAGGTGCTGCTGTTTGTGTCCCTTCAGAGAGAGCCCCTGATCATGACTGCGTGTACACCTTCATGAAGAGGTTGTGTAGTTCCTGGTTGTAAAATGTAGTGCTCTCTTGAGTGTTACCAAATCCTGCTTCACATGGCCATATGAGGCTGTCACGGCTTGGGAGCCCACTTGTGTCAAACACAACTCAATCTGCACAGACCAGCTCCTACATTACTCCAATACTCCAATACTCATAGAATCACAGAATCGCTCAGGTTGGAAAAGACCTTCAAGATCATTGAGTCCAACCACAGCCTAACCATACTACCCTAACTAACATCCCTCTGCTAAATCGTGTCCCTGAGCACCACATCCAAATGGTCTATAAACACGTCCAACCACCTCCCTGGAAAGCCTATTCCAGTGCTTAACAACCCTTTCCTAAAGTTTTTCCTGATATCCAACCTAAACTTACCTTGGTGCAACTTGAGGCCATTTCCCCTTGTCCTGTCACCTGTCACCACTGAGAAGAGACCAACCCCACTCGCTGTAAGCACCTTTCAGATACTGGAAGAGAACAGTAAGGTCTCCCTTCAGCCTCCTTTTCCCCGGACTAAACAGCCCCAGTTCCTTCAGTCTCTTCTCATAAGGCATATTCTCCAAGCCCTTCACAAGCCTTGCTGTCCTTCCTTGGACCTGCTCCAGCACCTCAGTATCCTTCTATAGTGAGGTGCCCAAAACTGAACACAGTACTTGAGGTGAGACCTCACCAGTGCTGAGTACAGGTGCAAGGTTACTTCCCTAGTCCTGCAATTCCTGATACAAGCCAGGATGCATTTCTTTGGTGTCAAGTGCACTGTCTGTCAGTGCAACTAGAGAGCTAGGTTTTATAAAATATGACTTGGAACAGATTAGAAGAAGACCTTCTTTAACATTTGAGTTCATGCTACTTAATTGAATATGGCATTATGCATACCCACAGGAAACTGGCCTGCGTGCACCATCAGTAGTCTTGGATTGCTAGAGTTCAGGTTTCAGATAATGTTTACACAGGGTGTAGACTTACAAAACAAAGCAAGCTAAGTACATCGAAACCAAAATCCAGAACAAGATACTTGAGAAATGATGTAAGGAGAATACTTTGTTAGACAAGATTTAACTCAAACTAAGCCCTTCACAGTATACTAGAGAAGTTGTCTCATGCTTTCTAGGGAATAAGAAGAGAGGAGTAGATGGAACTACAAGGAAGAATTGATGTGATACAGACAGAAGGCAAGTTTGTTACCACTCAGTAAACCTAATCACTGAAAATGACAGATTTATCTCAGTCTCTGCCAGCATTTTGCTTCATGTAGAATCTGTTACTGCTGTGGCAGTTCTGACAAATTAGAACTTCAGTCTCAGAAGCCTCAGTTCCATACAAAAAAACCAGCTTAAGAGTTAAAATTCAAAAGGTTATGATACTTAAATTCTGACCAACTTTATTAGAATACTAACATTGGTAGATAAAAAACAGCACAAAATATTAACATTAGCAACGCTACCGGTAGTACATGAATTAAACAATCTACTTCATCTGTTTTTACAGAATATAAACAATTAGTCCTACAGTTAATGTTTATTACTATAGCTTTACACATCTGCACCTTCTCTAATTTCTGTAACCGTATTTTGTATACCACATCACAAACTGGGAGTTAACTGTTAAAGCTTTAGCACAAAGCAGAGAAAATGCTGAATCGAGGCAACTCCAACATCAACTGCTGCGGAACAAACACGTTCATACCTACTATACTGATTGTATTTACATTTTGACTGAGTGGTGATTCAATTAACGAATGTGGTGATTATCCAAAATATACACAGTATATAAATCCCCTATCAGGTCTGGGAGGAAAAGGCCATCCTGATGGACTCAGAAACTCGAGCTGGAAGCAGTGTTATGAAGAAGCTCTCTTCTGCTCAGAGAAGGGAGATTCGTAGGCTTCCATTGGTGGGCAGGTACAAACCAGATGTTGGTCTCCATATATGTCATCAATGCGAGCAATCGTGGGCCAAAACTTGCTTTCAGGCTTCACAAAAGGCTGTGTGCAGAAATAAAAAAAGACATTATTTTAACTGTTGCACTAAGCAGCTGCGTAAATGTAACAGACGCCTGAAGTTTCAACAACAACCGAAGTTGGAGTGTGAAATCAAGCCTCTGGTGCATTTTCAATCCCATAAAGTCAACAAGTATGTATAACAAAAATGGCAGTTAGTTAAAGGAAAATTTAGATTCTCAAAAAAGTGCATCTCTGTCCTCTGACCCGAGCTTGCAAAGAAGCAGTCATGAAATGAACAAACTGTGATCCCTTGAATTACTGGCTAATGGGCGGAAACCGAAGAAAAGTGAAAGAGACTATCAAGATCTGCACTGTTCAATGCAGTAATAATTTATATTAAAAAAAAGTAAAACAAATATAATAAGGTGGTAAACTTCCTAAGTGCAGTTAAATTGTTCTTCTTTGAAACAGTGCATGGCAATAAGGCAGATGTAAAGTAGATGCAGTTCAGTTTCAGGTGAGAAAAGTTACTGACAAGATTGTGGAAAAAGCAGTTTTACACAGTGCTTCCAAGAAATCAGATACACTGCATCCCAGTCTGTCCTCTGTAGCTGACGCATTGGTGCTGCCTGCCCCATGCTGCCTTTCCATCTCATCAAACCCTCCTCTAAGCTCCCCATAGCAGAGTGCTGAACATTAAATGTGGTCTCTGTTTTCAGAGGCTGTGGTGCAGTATGTCTGAATTGAAGGGACTGGAGCTGTAACTTGCTTCCACCAAGAACAAACAATATCCAAGTGCTGACATTACAAATCCAAGTTCACGTTTCCTTCATGTCTAGACATTTTTTTAAAGATCTTTTTCCTTGTCTTGAAAAAGAAAACTTATAGAACTGCTGTAGAGCTCACACAAACGAACTGTGTAATGGCAAAAAGTACTTTGAAGTGTTTATTCCTACCAGACTAGTTCTTCTGCAATAGATCAGAAAACCACAGAGCAGAAAGCAAATTCATACATTACCACATCACTAACATTCCATCGTTTACTCACCAGTGGGAATGCTGCCACTTCTCGGGAATAAGGGCGATCCCACTTTGAAGAAGTGACACAGTTCAGAGTATGTGGTGACATCTGCAAGCACAAAGGCGTGTATGACATGAAATTACTGGACTCAATTGAATGTATCTGTGAGAATCTTCCTTAAGATTCACATCATTACAGAAAAAAATAATACAGACTGCTGTCTGGTATCTCCTTGAGACACAATGTATCTCGGGGGAAAAAAAAGAAAAGAAAAAAAAAAGGAGTGGATCTAAAACAGGAAGCCAGCCAGTATCTAGATGCATTCCATTTTGTCCAACATCACCCAAGATGTGAACGTGCTTCCAGCTTTTCACCACATTCCCTCAGTATTTAAAGATTCAGTGCAGCCTCACAACAGTTAACCAGAACTTGAGCCTGTAGCAGTATTGTGCCATAGTAGCTTAAGTAATTCATCTGGTCTTCATTTAACTGTTAGCTTTAAGGTCATTTCACTTCCTTTCTTAAATCAAATAAATAAGTAAGCAGTACTCCTTCACTAATTTAAGATGGTCCCCAAAAGTAGAGATCATATGCTTCCTTCAGTAACTTTCTCTACTGTGTCTGCAAAGTTTGAGCTTTTACTTTAAAAAGTCAGAATTACAGGTTTTGAGAACTTTCAAGGTTTCTAAAGAATTTCAATCTGTAATCCCTGCTACTTCACTGCCACACAGCTATTTTCTGGAGTACTGAAAGACTGGGAAAGGGGCTTAAGCAAGTCTCAAGAGTAAAGCTGGAGCTGGCAACTTGCTCTACGTGTCTTCTTACCTTCAGAGGGTTAACCTGGGGGTCCATCCTGCCCTCCTCTATTTCAGCAATTTCCTGTCGAATACTGATCATTGCATCACAAAACCTGTCCAGCTCTGCCTTGTCTTCAGACTCTGTTGGTTCAATCATGAGAGTCCCTGCCACTGGCCAGGACATGGTTGGAGCATGAAAACCTGAAAACAGAATCAGTCACTGACAACGGGTCATAAGCCAACACATGCACAGCTAGCAATTGATTCAAAATTCAGCCCTTTAATCTTTACAGGAGTGAACGCATGGATTCGTCGTGTACAGACAGATTTTAAAGTATTTAAAAGACAATTTTATTATGTTATTTACGAAAGGGTTTAAAGTTATTCACTGATAATGAAACGATCTTAAAAACTGCGCTTTTTGCTCTGTTAGTTTTTAACTCAACACATATTATTTTTCAATAATATCACAGAATGTTTTGTGTTGGAAGGGACCTTTAAGATCATCTAGTTCCAACTCTCCTGCTGTAGGCAGGCACACCTCCCACTAGACCAGGGTGCCCAAAGCCCCATCCAGCCTGGCCTTCAGTGCTTCCAGGGAGGGGTATCCACAGCCTCTCTGTGCCTGTTCCAGTAAGTCATCGCTCTCATGGTAAACAGTTTCTCCCTGATATCTAGTCTAAAATCTACCTTCTTCCAGTTTGAAACCATTTCCTCTCATCCTGTCCCTACATGCCCTTATAAAAAGTCCCTCCTCAGTCTCAGGTACTGGAAGGTCTTTTTGGAGCCTTCTCTTCTCCAGGCTGAAAAGCCACAGCTCTCTCAGCCTGTCTTGTCGGGGAGGTGCGCCAGCCTCCGAACTTCAACTTCATGAAGTTGGCATGGGCCCACCTCTCAAGCCTGTCCAGGTCCCTCTGGATAGCATCCCTTTCCTCTGGCATGTCAACTGTACCACTCAGCTTAGTAGTGCCTGCAAACTTGCTGAAAACTCGATCCCACTGTCCACGTCCACTACAAAGATGCTCCCAGCACTGATGCCCGAGGAATGCCACTCATCTCCAGTCTCCACTTGGACATTGAGTCATTGACCACCACATTCGGAGTGCAACCATCCAGCCAAATCCTTATCCAGCAAGTGGTCCATCCACCAAATCCATCTTTCTCCAACTGGCATCTAGGATGGTGCGTGGGACAGTGTCAAACGCTTTGCACAAGTCCAGGTAGATGGTATCAGTAGCTCTTCCTTTATCCACTGATGGTGTAACCCCATTATAAAAGGCCACCAAGTTTGTCAGGCATGACTTGCCCTTGGTGAATCTCATCTTTATTTTCCATGTGTCTTAATAGGGCTTTCAGGAAGAAATATTCCATAATTGTTCCAGGCACAGAGGAGAGACAGCCTGGCCTATAGAATCATAGGTTCATTAGAGTTGGAAGGATTGTTAAAGGTTGTGTTGTCCTACTCCCCTACAATGAAGAGGGATGTCCACAGCTAGATTGCCCAGGACCTCATCCAGTCTGGCCTTCAAAGTCTCCAGGGATAGGGCAGCAAACACATCTCTGGGAAACTTGTTCCAGTGCCTCACACTCTCACTGTAAAAGACTTTCCTTATACCCAAGCTAAATCTACCCTCTTTATGCTTGAAACCATTTCCCCTTGTTCTGTCACCACAGACCCTCCTAAAGAGTCTGTCCCCTTCTTTCCTGAAGCTTTACATACTGAAAGGCTGCTTTTAGTTCACCTCAAAGCCTTCTCTTCTCCAGGCTGAACAGCCCCGTTATTCAGGTTTATTGCCATTCCCTGCTGCTCACTTCAGCATTTGGTCCCTACATCCTCTTATCATATGCCAATGCAAGATTAATACAGATTTGTGCAGTAGGAGATGAATTAAAAAATGGGTTGCTTGTTATCATTTCTTTCCTGCAGTGCTGCTAAACACAGCCTTTAGGCTGCAGATCACATTCTTCAGAGCAAGCATACCAAAAACAACCTTAGAGTGCCCAACCAGTCATGTAATTGCAAATTGGGAGGGCAGTTTACAAAGGCGGGGAATAGCAGCAGGTTCTTCAGTAGTTATAACAACTTCATGGATGCAAAAGATCTTTAATGAGCTTAATGAGCATGTTGAAAAATGATGAGATGATCAAGGCAGATTCATCATCCGTAAGAATGAGACGTTTTGGGAACCTTTTAGAATAGATTTGTGAATTTCTCATTTAGGCTGCTGTTTAAAAGACATTTGACTAACCATAATCCTGAAGTCGCTTAGCAAGATCCACAGCTTCAACATTTGCTGTTTTTTTGAAAGGTCTTGTATCCAAAATAAATTCATGGGCTACGTAACCTGTAAGAAAAACAGTGTGGTTTACTTTTGGGAGAATAGCACAACCCATTGAGCAGTCTATCCTCATTGGTTTTGTGTAGAATATGATAAAGAGACAAAGTAAAAAATATCTGCTTTGTCAAAATCTCTACCAGGTAAGTACCAGGTAAGAGCTACACAACCCAGCATGTGAACACTGGTCCTCCAAGACCCACATGAGCTAAGAGGCCTCATTTTCCAAGATGTATAGGAGAGGGTAGTCCAAGTAGCTCCGTATGATTTGTAAGCTCTGGGAAAATAAATGGATTTGTCTGTAGCCCAACATCATTTGGATCACAGACTTTTTCAAATTGGCCACAAATAAGAAAACTGATTTCATGTTACATCAGAGAAAACCTCAAATCTGTTGTTACAAATAGGCTAAAGACCAAAGTTATCCAAAGTCATAATTCCGAAGAACTATGTTCCATTTCTTTAGTGAATCCTTCAAAATTTGAAAATTTTATTTACTTCCTTGAGGAAATTATATATTCTCCTCAAATGCAACCTGCAGGTTTAATCAGTTTGTACTCTTAAGTTCAATAAATGTGTTTTGAGCTGCATACATACTGTACTCAAGTTTTCTCCGGTGCCATTTGGCTTTAACAAGCAAAATAGCATTTTATTATAGTTATGATGGTCTAGTGTAACAGACAGGTAATTGTGTCCTTTCTTACTCCCTACTTTTACAGGACAGGAGAGTTGCATTAGGGAGCTGGAATGTAGCTGAAGTATTTCCCATTGTCAAAGAGATTCTCATCCTCCTTATAAAACAGAACAAGGAAACAAAGTGAGGATAGAAATTTTTCATTTTTTCTCAGAGGATTGTATGTAAGGGAAAGTTTATGATGAAAAGTTCTTACATTGTTATGTGGGATATAGAGAGATTAGGAGAGGCTTGGAGGCCTGACATTGTTGCTTCTTTTTTTTCTAATGCGTCATTAATTTACTATTAGACTTCAAGGAGAACAGTTGGATTTTCCAACATTTACTCCATCTCCTGCCATCATTTCATCTAACTACAAAAAAAAGCATTTTTAGTTCTGCCTCCAGCTACCTCTGTTCCATTGCAGTACCTCCACAGAAGCTGTAGCAGGCTATTCCTCTCCTTGTGTATGGAACAGGAGAAGACTGAGATTCAGCTGCCACATAGCATTAGGTAAGAGCTATACTGCAAGCCAGCTTTTACACAAAACATTTTGAAAAGAGCTTTGTAGAGGAAATCAAATTGCCACTACTTGCCTCTTACTCCTCTGAAAAGGATTTTGTAGTGCTTCTCTAGCCTCTTTGCCATGTAGTTTGCATTTAATATAGCGATCTCAGAAGCATGTTTAAGACCTTTTGCTCCCATTGTCTGAAAGAGGAATAACATGAGAATGTTTTTATATCTGTTTCTTCAAGCAAGATAAGCATGTTCTTATCCCAACAAAATGACAGAGTGGGAACACATGTGGCTCATTTACAGCAGCACACTGCTACTGCAGGTTTCCACATTGGACTCACAGGAAAGCACATGGAAGACATGGCTTGTTAGAATGCTGTGTGCCTAAGACCACATGTGGTAAGTAAACAGGTGAGTAACTCAACTCCAGAGATGGAGCAGCTTTGAAATGAAAAGAGCAGAACTGGTGAATTTCATCAAGTGGCTTCTATTTCTGCCTGTGCCCCTGCCACTGCCTGCATCTTCAGGCAAAAGGCACCCACAGAGCTGCCTGAAAAGCAGACTCTGCTGCCTGAACAGACACTGCTTTGGTGTCATATCACAGATGAAACTGTGCATTAACAAAGATTAGAGCCAATTGAATACTATTGCATACTTAATTCTCAGAGGGAAGGGCTGGAATTAGTGTTTGGCTTTGAGTTAGGCTGACAGGGAGAATGCCAAAGCAGCCCTTGCAGTTCTCTCTGTAGATGGGACAACTGGGAAAATAAGTAGTTTCCAACCAGCTTTTAAACAAAAATTTAATGTCAGAGACAGCAGAGGAACAAGGCTGACAGCAGATTTTGCCTGATTGTGCAGACTTGTCCACAAGTCCACTTGTCTTAGAATTATTACTGACAAGAGTCAGAAGAATGCAGGCTGTATGGGTACAACACCACTGTCATCCTGCCATATTAATAATTGTAACAGATGGCAATAGGCATTTCTACCTGAAAATAAGGAGATTCAAAGGATTTTAAAAATCTCTGGCTATGCCATGGGTGCACTGCAGTCTGTGCACTGCACTTAAACTGTCTATGTGATTTTAGTGATAGTGGTACTCAGGTCTGCTGAAAGAGAAACAGCCCTTCAGCTGATATGCCTTAAAAAAAGTCTACACACCTTGATATACACCCAGGAAATGGGCAATATGGCACTGGAACCCCAAGGTGCAGCACTGACAGTACCCAAAGGACAAGCATCCTTATCCGTCTGAATTTTGATGACAGGATGGGTAGGCAAGTAGGGAGCCAAATGTTTCTTCCTAAAACAGAAAGACTGACTTTAGAACTTAAATGTGTGCTGCTGTGTTACCATTCCTGAACATTTTCAGCATTCAGCATTTCAGATTCTCTTCACATTCCTTCCAAACACAGTCCACTAGGAGATCCGGTCAGTGTCTTCTTCGGCAGAAAATGTAGTAGCTTAACTGTTGCCAGCGTAGGATGACACTCATTTTATAGACCATCAGAAGATACTCATGCAGCTATCCAAATAAAAATTATATTTTAAAGGAACAAGATTTATTTTTTTTAACAATAAAATTGGTCTGTAGGATAGAATCAAGATTTTCATCCACCATTTCAGTGGACTGTACACAGTATCAGTCCTCAAAGCCCACAGATCAGTTCTGTATCCATTCAAAAACCAGACTGCTGAGCAGGATTTGCCATTCATACTAAGTGCCAACATGCAGTCAGGGCTTGCAAATACCGATGAGCCTCATCACTCAACAAATCAGCACGATTCTACGACATGATTATCCAGGAGAAGGACTAAAGTTTACAAACAGCAATATACTTCTCACACGAATAGCTCTATACTTAAAAGAACTGTCAATCAGGATTCATTAAGGGATTTTGTTTGTTTGCTATCTGGATTTATTTTATTTAAAATAAATTCCTTAAAAAAACTTAATTTAATATACTTACACTCCAATTGGTCCCATTCCAGGTCCTCCTCCTCCATGGGGAATGCAAAAGGTTTTGTGAAGGTTTAAGTGAGAGACATCAGAGCCATAATCTCCAGGACGACACAGACCCACCTGTGAAGTGAATACTTATATGTGAACTGATCTCCTGGCATTGAAAGATGCCCTCAAGAAAATTACACTGTAAGAGATGTTACACATTTTCCCATTTTCCTTTAACATGATGCATCACAAACAAGTATCAATGCAAATGCTGTGAGTTTTTTGCTTTAGGAATTCTCATTCATGTTTAAAGAATGCCTCTGACAAAAATTAGGCAGGCTAAGTCATTTTCATTGAATCATAGAATGGCCTGTGTTGAAAAGGACCACAGTGATCATCTGGTATTTCAAAGCAAACTTACATAAACAAAAAGTATACCAGCAACTAACTCCTATTATTATTCAAGGAATACTCACCACCTCCCCTGAGCCCTGCATCATCCTGTAATGAAGTTACAGCCTGAACTGAATACTGCCAGGATACTTTTTTCCCAGAGAAACTACAGGTTCAATTGTATTATATCTGCCTAGGAGATCATATACCTGGGCGTTCATATTTGCTCCATCCAGGTAAACCTGGCCTCCATGTTTGTGAATCAGATCACACACATCTGCGATCTCCTCTTCAAATACACCATTGGTAGAAGGGTACGTGATCATGATGGCTGCCAAGTTGTCTTTGTGCTTGTCCACCTGGAGGCAGAGAGGCAGGCAGAGGAAAAGGTCACTGAGGCTCATAAAGCTCCTTCAAGACAAGACCTCTACTCAGCTAATGTCTATCAGCCTAAGTCACTTACAGCAAGCAAAAAGTGCCGGCTCTCATATTCACCAACACCTAAGCAGGAGTGTTTTCTTGATAGGTCAGAATTTTAAATTGCAGAAGCGTGGTATGAGAAGTCAAAAAGCAGACACTTTTGAGACCTTTAAACAAACCAGGTGAAACACTTGCTCTTCAAGGTAACGTCATGCACAGGTTATAGCTTTGTTTTCAGCAGCATAGATCTATTACTACTGTAAAAAGCTGCTCAAATATGTATTTTTAAAAATGTGTCCTGCTAATTCCTTGGATTCCCAGGATTCACCTGCAGCAAATCTACTCAAAAAAGTGAAAAAAGTTGCCTAGCAACACCCTCTCCAGCAGAGATGCTCTTGAATTGAACCAAGTGAATGCTACAGTGCAGTCTGAAAGGTCTCAGCCTCACAAACACGCTCCTTTCATTTCAAATACTAAACACAGATGGGAACGTTTTGCTGTAAAAGAGCCTGCTGAGACTCACTCAGCCACTCCTGCACAAAAGATCCTCAAATTAAAGGAAATCTCATAAGTCACATGGCTTGAATCTGAATGAGAAAAAATGAAAGAAATACTTATTCTTTTCAAGTACATATTCACTATTTTCTGCCCTATTTTCTCTCAGATGAGTATCCAATTTCTCTGTCAAAACTATTACCTGTTGAGGAGAAGGAGTGCTCCTGCCTTGAACACTAAAGCTGATTAAATACTCACCATCGCTTTTAAATGGGAGATATCAATGCTCCCATTTTTATCCACTTCAATTGGCTGAATCTTCATTCCTGCCATTTGTGCACTTGCTGGATTTGTACCATGAGCAGATCTAGGAATAAGGCAAACCTTGGAAGGAAAAAGAAGCAGGTCTATAGTACAGCCAGTCATACAGGTCTTTGAATACTATGGTTCATACTCAGCACAAACTCATTATCACAATTCTTAAAAGGGAGACAAAGGAAATGTTTACCAGTAAACTGCTACTTGCATCAAACACTGAAACTTAGTTTTCTTTGGAGAAACCAGGCAGAAGCATCAAAATACCCATTAGGAAAACAAAGTTTCCTTTGCTCGATAAATCATATTTAGGAAACTGTGGAAAATGTGTTTCCAGAACATCATTTCAGAGACTTTTTACTGCAATTATTCATTTATTGTCTTTATTTTCCAGTCTGGTGTTGAGTATAGTGACCTGGCAGGAATAACTACCTGATTCTAACCTTCCACTAAATCCCAACTGACTTAAGCATTTCCTTCTCTATTCTATTGCCATTTCTTTTATTATAACTAACAAGTTTCAGGCAGTTACTTACAGCCTCTATACAGCTCAGTTAAAAAAAAGAGAGAGAGAGAAAGAGAGAGAAAAAAAGGAAGGGCTTTTACTTATATAAATATTAGCTCTTATCAGTGACAATTAGGAAAATAGAGATCTGGAGTTCACAGACACTTACCAGGAACTCCATCCATTCTAAAGTTAATAAATACACCTTTTTCCTTCCTCCCTTCCTCCCTTCCTCCCTCCTTCCCTCCCTCCTTCCTTTCTTTTTAAGCTCTTTGCTTCTATTAAGTGGTTATATTAAAATATTTGTCTATTTTGTCTATTACGATTCTCTTGAGAAGATAAATTTAACAAAGCTCAGTAAGTTACTCAATATGAGCTGTATTAAATAACGAACATCAAGGCTGTTGGTTGGGTTTCTTGTTTGTTTGTTCGGATGATTTCATGGAAAAATGCACTTTGACCTCTACCTCATGCTCCATGGAGATGCTAAGACAAATGCTGATTACTTCAAAAGCTATTTCAAGCTACTAAGCACTCAGTCTCAGCAGATGGATATTCGCTCTTTTTGCATTGAAATAACAGTGTTTCACTGTGCAGCTGTGCTGAAAGAAATACAAAGATCATGGCTCTACTGGTGACACATCCACTGTGACACTTCCATGGTAATTTTAAATGGTAATGTTAAGTGCCACCCAGTCCTGGTGGATTGTATCTGCAGCTGCTGGATTCAGAAGTTATTGATTAGACTACAAAGCAAACAGATGCTGTGAGCTGTAATTGAATGTAAGGTTGTAGGTCTTTTTTCCAGAAGAGGGCACCAGATCCAAATGAGGCTGACTGCAAGAAGCTTGATCAGCTGCTTCAGTTTACTTTCCTAAATTGCAAAACAAATAAGAAAGCAAAACAATAGAAAACAAACAAACAACAAAAAAACCCAACTAATCTCTTAGCACAACACTATGTATGTTTTGCAGAAGAAGCTAGTGAGAACACCTCTACTTTCTATAATATGGTCAATATATGGAAAGAAATGGGTGTGAAATGAAACAGATCTGAACTTGAAATTTACAAGGACAGACGCTAATTCATAGAAAGTAGTGATGCTACAGAGTCATGTATTAAACACTATAGTAGTAATAAAGTTCCACAGTAGTGACTTTAACCTTAAACACTTCAGACCTTCTTCTGTTGCCTCTTCATGTGTCTAGAACAGAGATCAGGCTGCCTACTAGCAATGAGCCCTGCCACTCAATCTTTCCCTTTTCACTTCTGCTTTAAATTTAAAATGGCTTTCTATATAAGGCTTTCTTTGCATCGCATACATAGTAGCCTTCCAATGTGAAACAGAGAAAACAGAACCAGCAGTTAGTTACAGTTAAACAAAAGCATCACCACAAAGGAAGGTTGAATAAATTCTGTAGGCAGCTGCAGTACCTGCACAGTTAATCTCTAGAGTTAGAACTAAAACTATTAAACATGGCTCCTAGCAAGAACTGGTTCGTCTTTGGGGTTAGCTATATCACCACTCAGGTTTACAAGAACTCTCTTTTATCAGGCTTCAATGGTACAGCTGAGAAGTGATTCCTTGAGGTCAAAGTTTCAGGTAGACAGTACTGAAGAGAATAAAAATTAAGACTTCTGAGTCTAGCCTTACCACCTGAAGATTATAATTGAAAACTGTTTTCCATTACTCATCCAGAACTTTGTGGAGCTTAATAAGAAAGGCTATCTTCACATATTTTACAGAAATTTATTTGAAGCAGTTTAAATAGCCAAGGATGAGCCTTGATACAGGTGATTCCTGTTAATGGGCCTTGTCTCAAATGTGGTGCTGTCAGACCCCGTGCCTTGCCTACGATGTTGCTCTGGCTACATGGAGGCTGGATAGGCACAAAACAGTATGAGCTGCTGGGAATGGGACCACAAGCCCATTTGGGTATACAGTACCAAGATATCAGAGGTATCAGCAGCACCAGGTAAAAGCCCAAATCCTCCCATCCCCTGTCTCACAGGGTTCAACCTTCTTGGGGCACATTTTTCTGTCACCTCAACAACAAGTTCTTCACTCTTATGCCAGCACCAAAACAGGTTCCACACACACAGTAACAAGCCAAAGATGTTAAATAATAAAATCAAACATCTGATGTAAGGATGTACAAAAAACTCAAGAGCTCATGCAAGAAAGCTGGACAGATCAACAGCTGAGGAGAAAAGCGAGGTGTAATCCTCGTCTCCACAGGGTAGCTCACACAGAACAGGAACAGCATCATTCCAGGGACATATGTCAGCCCAGACACATGGCCATTGCTTTTATCAGAATGTTCCCAGTCACAGCAAAATGAAGTGATAAGCAGCATAGCAAACTGCAAGGTCTGGAAGCAGCCATTTAAAAGCCCTGAGCTCAGATACACAGTAAAGCAACAAGCTCTGTGACCAGCATAGGGAGCCTTCCAATAAACAGATTGGCATGCTCAGATCAAAACTGTAATTACCTTAGCTCCACGTTGGACACCAAAAAGGACAGTGGTGGGTTGGCCTGGCCAACAGTCAAACACCCACATAGCTGCTCACTCATTCCCCTCTCCCGTGGGACAAGGAGAAAATAGAGGTAAGGTGAGAAGATTCATGGACTGAGATAATGATAATTTAAATAGGGAAAACAAAAGCTGTGTCCACAGCCAAACCAAGAAGAGGAATTCCTTCACTACTTCCCATCAGCAGGCACATATTTAGTCACCTCCTGGAAAGCAGGGCCTCAGCATGTTTAATGGTTGTTTGGGAAAATCAATTCCATAACCATGAACTTGCCCCTTTCATCCTTCTTTTCCTGAGCTTTGACTGTGGAGTATGACATTACATGGTGTGGAATACCACTATGGTTAGTTCAGTCAGCTGTTCTGGCTGTGTCACCTCCCAGCTTCTTGCCCACCCAGCCTACTCACTTGAGGAGGGGGTGCAGGGCAGAATGGGAAAGAGGAGCCTTGACACTCTGCATGCAGTAGACAAAATAATGGTGTAACTATTAGTGCTTTACCAGCTACATATGCAGAGCACAGCACCATACGGCCTGCTGTGAACAAAGCTAACCCCATCCCAGACGGACTCAAAATGGATCCAGACCATTTGATAAAACTTTTCCTCACTCCCACTGCTTATTCAGTGAATTAATACTTTTAATACAGTACACATGATCTGTGAGGAAAGCAGTGAATAACAAAAGGCTTGTCAGAGACAAGGACACTGAGCCTAGTTTTGGGTGAGCCCTAGCTTCCAAACCAACTCTCCTGTCTCCACTTCCCACCCCCAGTTCCTCCCCAGACAAGTGTTGACACTTACACTTCTATGGCGTTCTCCTTTTGCATTTAAATAAGCTTTGATTGCAGCCAAACCTGCATACTCTCCTTGGGCTCCACTGCAAGAGAAAAACAAAGGCTGTTAAGAAAGAACATGAATCAGAACGGATTACCACTCTGCAGAAGCTTTCTGCCAGTTTTGTCTTTCACATTTTCTTCAGGAATAAGTTTTTGGAGTCCTTGTGAAGGAGCAAATGTTAAAAAAAAAACAAACAAACAAAAAAAGAAAACCCTCCTACCTGTTTGGTTGGAAGGAGATTTTGTCATAGCCAGTAATCTCACACAGGTCCTTCTCTAAATCTCTGAAAAGCTGCTGATACCCCTGAGCTTGCTCCAAAGGCACAAAAGGGTGGATGCTGGCAAATTCTTTCCATGAAATCGGCTTAAACAAACAAACAAACAAAATCCTCAAGTGTTGTAAAAAAAAAAAAATTCTGAAGACAACTCTGTTTTGTTGTTAATTTCTCTAAAGAAAATAAGCTGCCCTTGCTCAAATAAAAACCAAGTATTTCTTGCATGTCAACATAAGTTCCCAACCTCTGTGAAGGATGATTCTCAAAAACATTTTTTAACATTCAGGACATGTTTAAAATCCTCACTTGCCTCTTTTTAGTTACTTGTGCTTATGTGCAGCTGTGAGATCACAGGGCAAAAAGAGATGATTCAAGGAACAGTGCCTAACAATCTGCTTCATAAACTTCTGTTAATTTCAATTTTAATATAAAAGACAAAAAAAAGTAGGGACAAGGTACAGAAATGACTGAGAGGAGGGGGAGAAATCTAGCAAGCAAGTAGCAACAAGGAGAGAGAGGAAAAAATCAAAGGGTATTCAGTACCCAATGCTGGCTAAGCTGATACCAGCTGTAAAGAAATGAAGACAGATGGAGACTCCAACTCCTCACCTGAGAACAAGGACTGTTCCCCTAAGGAGCAGCAAATTGTCTAAAGGCAAGAACTGTGTTTTACTGTAAGATTTGTGAAACAGCTAGAAGTTAGGTACAGCAACAGCATTAAGGAACATGAACGTAACACCCAATATTTATTACATATATTACAAATACATGGCTATTTTTTTTTCCCACATGAAGCCTTCAAAGCCACTTTCTTGCTTTTGCTGCACTCCTTACGAACTTCTTGAAGCTTTTTCAAAGTAAAAGACAGAGTCAACCCCATTAGCTTATTCTGAAACTTGGGGGGGGGGGGCGTGCCCCCTTATGGAGACCTAGAGCAATGCCACCCTGTACTTCTCATGTGTCCTCATTGACACTGGCTGCATAATGTAGGTTGCAGGTAAGACACTACTATTGCAACTTACCGCAAGTTCAGCTGAACTATTAAGCTTCATTGTACAGGACCCCTAAAAATGGAAAACCGTTTGTCAGTATATATTAAGAGATCTGCTCTGAGAGTAATGCTTCCTATTTATTATGTTGGCTCACAGCGTCAGAGGCAGATGGTGTATGGCAGTCAAGGCTGAACTTTCCCACCAACACCCTGTTACATTTTGGTGCTGTGTAACAGATGGCAGCAGAGAGACACTCTGACAGAATGATGACTGACGTGGAAGTGCAGATGAAGTGAAGGTGTGTCACTGACTTCCTCAGGTTGAAAAGATTACACCCACTGACATTCATTGACACTTGCTGAACGCATCTGGAGACCAACAGTGGTGGTGGGCACTGAGTTTCAGCAGTGGCAACAGCAACAGTGGGTTACTTCCACTTGTGCAGATCTTCACAACCACAGCATGCAGGCTCTTGTTCATCACTGGTATAAGTGAATAGCTAGCGGTGGTGCCTACACTAAAAACTAGTATTTTGTAGCTGCAGATTTACTCTACCAAGCAATGTTATTGTGCTCTTTGTATTTGTTGTAATTTCCATGGAAATAAATAGGAGGCATTACTTTCAGGATGATCTACGTATGTATGTAATTTTTTTTCTCTTGCTGGCAAATACCCACCAAAGGAATCATGCTGTGAACGAGAGAAATATCTTTGTTTTCTAACTTCTTCATGTACCGCACAATATTTGTCTCAGAGTGATAGCTGGAGGACACAAAACATGGTGTTAAGGCAAGCAAGAGAAGCCCTACCACCAGGCTGATCTATATTCCAAAAAGGAAACACTACTGCAAAATAATAATAATAATTCTTAAAAATTAATAATAAAAAAGTAAGACTATGCAGGTGTAAGTGCAGCCCACCCCTTTAATTTTTAGTTTTTATTAGATACTTATTTCAAATCATTAATTTATGCTACCTAGGAATAACGTGGATGAAAAGCAGCTGTTATCGGTAGCTGAGAAATGCTATCACTGAACGTTGACTTTGCAATTTCAAGAAAGTCTGCCAATATTAGGTCTCAAATAATACTTGTACAATGTAGCAAACTGATGAAAACATACATTCTACCTGTGACCATGCTTTGCTCAATTCAAATTTAAAAGTTGTCTAAAAATGCTACTAAATTGATTATTTCAATTAGTAACAAGTGACTGTGACTACAGATACAAAACTATACTCAATGGACTTCCCAGTACAACTTTTGAAAGACAATATTATCAGTTTCCATTTTTAAACTCAGATTTACAGCAATTTCACAAACCTGTTGAAAACCTGATGTGTCAAGAATTTGGAAGTTCTCTTAAACGGGGTGCTAAGGATCCCCTTGGTTTCTTCACCCATTCCTTCAGCAACTAGTTCCTTTGACACAAACAAACACAAAGTCAGAGACTTTCAGATACATTTCTCTTGTCATCTTCACTTTCTAGAAGAAATAGCTTGAATCAGCAGCATACCACAAGCCATAGTCAGTTCTCCAGGTAAAAACACTATTAGCATATGTACATGTTTTTATCTAGCTTATCAACAGTATAATAAAACTGGCACAGAAGTCTCAGTAGTCCCCTCATCTTGGAAGTATTGCTGCCAATCACCAATGATATGCAAAAAAAAAAAATAATCCTGTGGAACAAAGATAACTGACCACCATGCCCTCAACTCCACAAAGCAAGTAATGGGTTAACATAGTGTGTCTAGAATGACCAAAAGAACTAGGCTTCATAACCAGCTGAATACATCACTGTTGATTTATTCTGTCTCTCGCTGTAAGGCAGGATCTGAAATTGTCAGTATTTAACAAACAGATGCCATAAAGATAACCCCTACGTGAAAACACAGTTTTGTTTTTCACTGCATTTCTGAAACATTCAGATTAATTTAATGCATGTTCTGTTGTCCACTTACGGCTGAAGACTCGCAACCAAAAATCCATAATATGTCATCGAGGTCTTTCTCATTTACAGTTTCATCAAGTGATACTCCAAGCTATGGACAAAAGCAACACTCATTAATCAAAGCTGTCATTTCTGGGGGCATACTCTATTTGTTTTTGCCAAGAAAATACATTCCAGACACACATGACAAAAGAAAAAGACAAAAATCTCTACATGCAACAGTATGCAAATGTCACATTGTTTTATGTAACAGATGCACAAATTTCATTAATATACAATTTTCTGATTCCCACCTTTCCCTTTCTAAGCCATCCACACTGAACAGATCACAAGCTGGATAATTTGTGACTTCAATTCTAACACTTCTAAGTAAACTGGAAAATCTCCTATTTTGCTAGACCACTGCCACTTCAATCTCATTTTAAAGAACAAGATTTTTCACAGTCCTTAGTGGCTACCATAATGTGGGCTATATTATCATCTGTCTTTAGAGCCAAAGGACCTGAAATTTGCAGGTCATGAATTCCACAGTTTAGATTCTCTCTATAGAGCCCTTAATGGAATATTTAAAACGAAATAATTAGAAAACCTATTAAGCATAAAATGAAAACACAGTACATCTTTCTGGAAATTTGGCACATTCTTTGTTCTGTCTTTATAATTGACTGTTATATCTGGCCAAATCACAAGAAACTTTTTCTATTCGATTTCTATCAATTATTAACTTCCTTCTTTTCAACACATTATGAGTGGAAAAAGTCATGCTATAAAATTTCTGAAAGGTTTAAAGTTGCTTACTCTGCCATCACTGTAAATCCGAAAATTGATCTTCCTAAGAGCTGCCCTGTCCAAAACCTCTTTGACCGAGCATCCACATGTGACCGTCAAGGTATCAAAGAACACATCATGATGCAGTTTATGACCAGCTCGCCTGAGACCTATAAAACACATTCAGTTAATGCTATCGTCTGCTCTAGTGCTTGCTTACACAGCAACACTACATCAGACTTGCAAGTAAATGCTGCTATGCACTAAAAAGAGACGTTCCCCTTGTGTACAGAGCAGTGAAATCACCAGCTTTAATAGCAAAATACCATTGTGCATGAAATGCATCTGTATCAGATTCAGGTCTAGTTAGTAATGCAGACTGATCTGACAGAAGACCTTTCTGACAAATCCAACAGATTTGTAAATACATAAACTTCAGAAGAATAAGTATACAAATTAAATAAGGACAAAATTGCAAGATTGGAAAGCAAAATTTTCCTACACAAATAGGTGTTAGCTGTCATGGAATTTGCTATTACAGAGTTTAAAGGCTTAGTGCTTTTCAAAACCAGCAAGCAGTCTTCTAGCCGAGCTGGCAAACAGTGCATGGATAATTGCTCCTGTCCCTCTCCAGCTCACAGCATTCCAGCTTTGCACAGCTCCTCCTGACAGCAATGACAGTCACATCAGTTAAAAGAAATTCCACACCACAGTCCAGCTGCTGTCATTATTTACTACTGCAAATGCTGTTCTTTCAGACAGCTATTAAGCTTTGGGATTTCACTGTTGGTGCTGAGTATGACACTCCATGTAACTGAACTGAAATGTTCCCCTTTCTTTAATCTCATTTATTATCTATTTTTGATAAGTTATTAGCATGTTTCTGGGTGTAAACCAGAACGGTCCAAAAAGCAAAGCACAGGTCCCGCAGATGGAAAACAGCATTATCAGCTCGAGACTTGCTATGATGATTTCTACCAGTTTCCCAAGGAAATAGAACACCTGCAAGCTCATTTTGCATATGTATCTAATTCTTGGATTTCATTAACAAAAGAAAAGAAAAACATTAGCCATGAATTTTCTATAAACATACTCCTTTATCTGAGAGCTAAAAGACATCAGCTGGCAAGGCAAACAAGCAAACCACCAGAGTCTCTTATTTAAGAAGGTGTAAGGACTGAAGAAGGGCTTCTGCAATCATTAAATATTCACCTTCGGCCAGGATTAATGTAGCATTGTGTACCCGTCTTGCAATATCCTTTAATCCATCAGACCCATGATAGACACCATACATGGCTGCCATATTAGCCAGGAGAGCCTAGGATCCAAATACAGTTTAGCATGTTATTATTTACAAATATTACTTCACATTATTTTGGTGGGATGTTTCTTTAGTACCAGGAGAGTCACATGTCCCCAGCTGATGTTACACTTTTATTGTAATTGCCCATAAAATAAAAGGTGGGAGACACAAAGTGTATTTATGAAACTGTAGGTACCATGAACTCAATGCCCTTTGAAATTTAACTGTCAGTTAACATGAATCAAAATTCAATTATGCAGCAAAGAAGGCTGAAGAATCATAAGTAAAACTAGAGTTGTAAGAAACTGGATGTATAGTATTGCTATAAAATACTTTTTTATATTTTTTAAATTTTTAAATATTTTTAAAATTTTTAAATATTTTTTATGGAATATCCCATGAATGCTAAGTAATCAGCTCTTTTAGCAATAACAATTATTCTATAAAATAAAGCACAACAGTAGGAGTGTGAACAATATATCAGTAGGAACAGAAAAAGTTTATAAACTTGTCTAGCAGATGCTAAAGATAACTATTTACAGTAATTGCAAATTTAATAATAATATTTTACTTAAAGAGAGTTTTGGGGCAATGTAGTATTTTTGCATCAAATCCCATATTCAAATTGTCAATCTATATTTACGTCTAAGTAGCCTCTGAATTTCAGAACAGAATTTTTGCTTTGAATTTTGCAAGTTTCGGATGATCAGAATTTATTAAGAAAATCTGTCTCATTTGTAATAAATACAGCATTACTCAGCAAAGCAGAGAGATACATGGGCTCATTCTGAACTCAAGTTGTTTTAAAAAGAAATACATACTATTACCATCTCTTCAAGCATAGTCCCATTTTTCCAAAGGACTTGAAACATAAACACAAGGCAGTATGTTTCAACATTCTTCCTTTTTCAATAAAAAGTCTCAGAAGGAAAGCCAAACCATAATACCATGGTGTTATGACTTCAACATTACAGTTATATTATGGAAGCAGAGAAGACGGGTCACCTGTGCTGTGCAGATGTTGCTGGTAGCTTTATCCCTCCTGATGTGCTGCTCTCGGGTTTGTAAAGCCAGTCGGTAAACTTCCTTTCCATTTGCATCTCTAAAACACACAGGAAAGTACTGTTTTTGTTACTTCAAAATGACAGCAAGCTAAGAGACCAAGCTCTATGCATACTAACCTTGACTGTCCTATAAGCACAGAAGGAACATCAGACAGGGTCTAAGGTCTCTTGATTTGTTCTTACATCATGTCTGGCAAGTCTGCCCAGCCAGGAACAGTGCATAGAAAGTGTTCTACCAAAATCTGGTACCCTCCTTAAGGTATCACAGAGTGTCCCTGCTTTAAATGTTTTAATGAATGTAGCCCAGGACTTGTTGTGAACACCGATCATAAAGCATCTTCTCTTATGTCCAGCAATAGCATGCAGGGTTCGTACATAGAAATAACCTGCACAACACAGCCGTATGGAGTAACTAAGAGGACTATGGTCAGTCCATCCTGAGGGTCCCTTCCCAGCATGTTGAGACTGGAGAACTAAGAACCAGCCCTGCATCCTTTTACAAACACTTTCACTGACACTGAAGAGAAGAATGAACTCTACGCATATATAGAAATCTGCATATGTGGAATCATAAAAACCTTAGAGTTGGAAGGGATCTTCAAAAGTCATCCAGCCCAGCTCCCCTGCAATGCACAGGGACATATGTATATATGTACATATGTAGGGTTATGAATAGCCAGACTACTTTCCTCAAGTCACTGTACTTTCTATTTCCCAGTTTTTTGATGACTTAGTGTAAGAGAAAGGGATATTACAGTACAAACAGGCAGAATAAATCAGCTTGCACAGCCTCACTCCATCATAATTAATTATCTCTGCAGTGTAGGTTATTTCTTCATCCCACATGGCAGCTAGCACTGTAGGCAGGGCACGGCACGACATCATTCCATGCAATGGTTTAAGTTTGCTTCCTAAAAACTGAAGCTAATCTTTAGTCTCCTGGTTTTCAAGAAATAAAGATGTTTGGTACAATGATAAGGTCAGATGTTATTTGTAAAGTCTATTTCATTTGGGTTTTCCCTGAAGAGATGAAAGGTGAGGGGAGCCTTTACCTTGTAACGCCCACCATCCTGCCGGGCATCATTCTCACTAGGTTTTCCTTGACGGCAAAGAATGCTGCGTGGGGTCCCCCATAGCAGAGTGGCACGCCAAATCTCTGGGAGCTGCCCAAGACAACATCTACTCCAAACTCCCCAGGAGGCTTCAGAATACAGAGAGCCAGAAGGTCAGTAGCGCAGCAGGCAAGAGTCTGAGGGGGGAAGTGAACAAAGCAGTCAGCCTCTCTTCTGAAGGAATGCTGCTTGCATGGGAGCTAGGTTCTAACACTTTCAAACAGTTTCTTTTCACTTGCACAGCGCTGATGTGCAAATGGTAACCTTTACACAGTATCTCACATTACACTTTGCACAGACACCACGGCTGCTTTATGCGTCAGAGCGAAATCTGGTGAGACAAGTAACATTTACTTTACCCCATTCTGATGCGCTCTTTCAACAAGTTCAGAAAAGTCTTCCACCTTTCCCTCGGTGTCTGGATACTGAAATAATACTCCACAGACATCCTTTCCACTGAAATCCATCTCATGGGGTAATTTGAGCTCAGTAATAACACCTGTATAACTGGAAAACAAGAACGTGTACAATACAACACATTCAAATTATTTCCTGCCTTGAAGTGATACTTCACAAGATATTTCAACAGACTAAGGAATCTTTTCTTTAACATACATATAATTGATCCTGCTCAGCACCAACAACATTCAGAAAGTTCAGAAAGAATAAATGCATCTGATGATATCATCATCAGAAATATGCAGAGGAGAAGAGCAGACTATTCATAGCCTACTTAATACCAAGGTTTTGCTGCAAGTTTAACTTCCAGAAAGAAGTAATATTTTTCAAAGATAGCGACTTCAAATTCAGAATGGAATTAATTTTTACTAAAAGGGAAGTTTTACTATCTCAGCTTAGTTATTTCCCAGCTAAAAAGAGATGAACAAACTGAATTAAAAAGCAAACACGTGTATCTGCACAAAGAAATTCAAGGAAAAAAATAAATATTTTCTTGTTATCATATGTTCAGTCTCTTTTTAAACATCTTGGTTTACTTCACCAGTTAGAAGTGAATAGAAAATTAGAAGCAACACCAAATGTTAACAGATTTCTGCTTCTATTTTGCTGAGAAAGCATAGTCTTGCAGTTCAAGCATGTCAAGCATATCATGTAGATGAAAAATGATTCAATTTAAGCTAAAAGATACAGTGGAAGATGGAGAAGAACATTACTTTGCTCTAGTTTGGACCACTGCTATAGTTTGTGGGTGGCATCGGGCATCTATATAGAACTTCCTTCTTTTGTTGTGCCTGTTAAAAAAAGGAGTAAAAAAAAGAGACCTATATTAAGAATACATTTTTTTCTATGGAATTAACCTGTTTTCTAAATGTTAGTTTTCATAAAGTAAAAAGGAAGTTGCAAATTCTGATGTTCATAAATACGTTAAGTATATGAAAGTTCTAGGCAATTTAGAATAACAAAGTTCATTGCAGACACTCCAGTGAGATTCAAACTTAATAAGAATTAAAGCAGGCTATGAAACAGGACCAGGAGCCAGCTGACAAAACATCACGAATGCCTTCATTCACAACTACTCTCATAAAGAAGTACAATTGCATTCTCCCATGCAGATTATCTGCATTTCCCTGGATAACTGAACAGGTGCTACTGAAATAATAAAACAGAACCTTGCATATTTGCCTGGTTTTCTCCAGTAAAATGGCATGACTGTATGTCAGGCTGACATTCTGAGCGACAGTATAGTCTCCTCCTTGATAATAGAGACTCCAGTGACCTTCTGTAATGCCCCTCAAACTTCATTTGATTTACAGGTTCCTTTCAAATACCCTTACAGTACAGTTCTTTAAAAGTATGTTTGGATATGGACATGAGAATCTGATGCCACAGACTGTTAGGTTAAGCTCCCCTGCAGTCCCATAAGGGAGCACTGCAAGGCAAGGGCAGATGAAGACCACAGGTGACACCTTGTTCTTGCTACTTCCAGATCCATCTGAGGAGACACCAGTCCACTAGAAGTCACCTCTGCAAGCGCAGAGGGAGGTGGGAACCAAGATAAAGAATCAGAGGAAGGGATACCTTGCCTGGCAACCTCAGTACTATCCCAGAAGTGTGGGATACATTATGGGATGCAGCAGAAAGGCATTTCAGGGCTTACTATGGGATATTAGCATGAAAAATCAAAGGAAAACATAGATCAAAGTGATTTTGAGTACGAAAAAATTGAGAGATAAGAGGATAAAAGGGGCCAGCTGCTGGCTGATTTGGATAAGTCACACTTTTGAATGGTGTAGTCTTCCTTTCTTCTGGTTTAATTCCTTTCTTTGGGCGAGGCACTCCGTATTTGTGTTGCGTATGTGTGCATATGGGAGTCTGAGTGCCAGTATGAGGACTCAGATGATGGATAGTCAGATGGTCCATGAGTCCCTGGTGAGTCAACCGAAGACTGGAGCATGCTGTCTTTAGACCCCTCTGGAGAGGAAACCTGGTTCTATAAGCCTCTGAGGACTCACGTATGATCAATTTTCATAAATACTCCCTGATTCAATCCTCTTCCACCAAGGATAAGTGTTCCTTGTTCCAGCCTTTCACTCTAGTTTTTGGGTCCTTACATTTCTGAAGGCCTGAAACTTCTCAAACACATTAACACTGGCAACTGCTGGTGAGGCTTACTAGCATGAGCCTTAGCTATTCAGCAATCTGCTCACAGTGAAAAGGCCGCATTCAACTTCAAACTACTCATGCCTACACAGCCGACATGTCTTTCGAACACCAAATTCCTTCCTGCTGTAATTTAACCATAAATTTAAACATAGTACCTGTGACATAATTGCATAGCTTCTGCAGCAGCTGTCCCCTCATCCAGCAAAGATGCATTAGCCACATCCATTCCTGTGATATCACACACCATAGTCTGGTAATTTAGCAGGCTCTCCAGTCTGCCCTGGGAGACCTCAGGTTGGTAAGGAGTATACTGGGTAACCCTGTAAGGAAAGAACTCAGAGTCTGGTTACAGAATACCTAACAGGTTTATACCATTAAAAAACAACAACAACAACAACAAAACCCAACCCAAAATGATATTGTTGAGTATGATCCACCAATTAGAAAACATTTATTTTTAGGTTGTTATAATTTATTAATCTCCTGAAAACCTGAGGGTATCTTCTCACTTCATTCTGATTTGGCTTTTTACAGATGAATTATCTTCCTCCATTTTGAAAAGAGAAATAACTTCTAAAGTTGTCATAGGATTGCTTACTGGAGAAGAGAGAGGTGTAGTAGGATCAGAGTGTGAGAGAACTGAGTCACATCTCTGTGTCTGAACAAGCGTATTGTTGCTATCTGTCAACATGCTGTTTCTGAAATCTTGTGCTTGCCAAGTACTCTGCACTCATGGGAGGAAAGGCAATTGGCACTTCTCAGGTTCAGGCTTAGCAACACACCACTTCTTGAGAATGGACAATTAGTATAATGGAACTGCAAGTAGGCAGTTTTAAAAGGATTTCTACTCACAGGTTATAATCAAACAGTTTTTAAATGAAGTTTCACCATTCCTTGTTGTTTCATTTTTGTTTAATCTATTCTTAAACTAAGCAGATGCGAATTTGATAGTTCTCAATCCTACTGCTCCAGCAGAGAAAGGGTAATACACCAGATAAATGCTATGCTTTTGAATGCTAAAAATGGTTGAAACAAAAATTACCAATTTCAGTAAGGACACAAAGTTCAACAGTGAAATCTTTAATTCCAGTACTAGAGCAAACAACCATTGCTCATGCTTAACAGCTTCACTAGTGAAGAAATCTTCAGTAGAACTGAAGCATTTATTTAAACACATAATCTTCTCTGTAAAGGTTGATTGGCACTGTTCAAGCATCTGAATACTTTCACAAAATAACGATACTTCTCCACTACTTCTTCAAATAAAATAGCTGGTTTTAGTCTGCAATGCAACTCCTGCCTGAATATTTACAACAATCTTTACTTCATGTTAAATGATGTTCCTAAAGTCATTTACAAGTCAAATCCTTAAAAGCAAAACTCATTTTTGAAGTAAACATTTGCAGAGATCAAATCTAAGAAGTACACTAAACTATCCCTCAATCAAAGCAACATTTAAAAAAAGCCAAAAAACCAAACCAACCAGCACCTCTCTTCTGCTTAGGTTAGTGGCTACTTTGCATGCAGAAGTCCACTAGCATCAACATTCAAATTAAATTACTGTAATGACAAGGAATAAAAACTGCAAACTGCCTTTTTTTTTTTTTTCTTCAAGAAAATTGGAGGAAAATACCATCTCCAGTTGATATCATTAAGGACCAAAAGTGTTTCTGCAGACCTGGGCTCACAAGTTCACAATGGCAGATGGGACATGGCACAGGAAACTTTCCACAGGAAGCTAACAAAGTCTTTCTACAGCCTGTGTCAGACCAGTCAGGAGTTTGATGTTAAATGGCTGTTGCTTTTGTAGCTGTTTCAAACATGGGTATTTTTTTCACTCTTTGCCTCATCCTGCACTCAGAAACATTTACATAAATACAAACTTCAACACTGAGGAAGGTTTAGAAAGACACTTAAGTACTGTGTCCCTGCAAGGCTGGCATCGTCAGACTGGCATCAAAGCAAGCTGTATCCAGGAAACATGCTTTCAGCCCACAGCTAGGCTGCTGATCAAAAATCCTGCTTTACAAAGGAGCAGTTTTTGTACATAGGAGCTGGGGTTGTTTTAGATTTAACAGGAAAACCAATACATTAACTGCAAAAATAGCAATTACAGCTTATTTATTCTAAAGTTAGCTCTTGCTTCTACTTTGCCTTAAAATACCTCCTTTGGGAAATACTAATGAAATGGCAGAGTGTGCATCGACTCCATTATCAAAAAACACTCAGAGAAGTAGTTCTTGATTAGTACTTGCAAGCGCACAGTCAATAAAATGTGAAGGTATGTCTAAGTTATTTCCTAACATACGGTCAAAACATTTCACCATATACCTCCTACAGTAATTTCTTCTATAGTTTTATTAAATATCTGGAAAGTTTTTGTACTCATAAACAACATCATACTTCCACTATAACATATGTTCTTGCAGTTTTAGACATCCACAACATGAATCTCATGTATTGCCAGAGCTGGCATTTATTTGTATTTCCAGTCACAGAGTTTTCTTTTTGAGATCTGACAGTAAACTAACATGAATGTAAAGTAAAGACAGACCGCTTGCATAATTTCAAACAAACCTACATAAGCAGTATCTTACTTGTGGATTTGAGAAAGCAGGATGGTCCTGTGATAGGCATGGAGGCATGCCAGCTTCCAGTCAAAGCACAGACACTGAATTTCCTGCCAATTTGGCACGGTCTGTGAGTTGCTTGTGCAGCTTTCTGTACCTAGTCTGCAAGTGGAAGATAACTGCTTAAAGTTTGTATCATATACAGTAAATTTTACAATGCAGTGCTTGAGAGCTAAGTGCTACTGGCTACTATGTTACAGAGGTGATGTTAAGACTGCTGATATCCTTGGTATGATTACTTCACTTTTACATGCTTTATGCCTGTGGATAAAAAAAAGTGAAGTACTTTGGAGATCTCTGCACCATGCTCCACTGCAAGATGTTACGAAATGTCTCACAGATTTTCAAGGCCTGATAGATAGGCAAATATACGAGGGCTGCTCTAAAAGTAATGCCTCCTATTTTATTACATCAGACCACAGCGTCAGAGGTGTATGTTCATGGCAGGACCATAGAAGTTGAATTTTCCCACCAACGTTCAGTTACACTGGGAGTCCTGGTGGAAAAAAAAGGCAGCAGTGTATGTTTGCAGTCTGGAAGGCCAACTTTATCCTGGGCTTCATCAAAAGAGGGGGTGGCCAACAGGTCAAGGGGATTATTGTCCCCATCTGAAGTACTATGTCCAGGGTTGGGGTTCCCAGTACAAGAAAGCTGCAGGTTTGGGTCCAGAAGAAGGTCATGAAGATAATCAGAGATCTGGAGCATCTCTTTCACTAAAAGCTGAAGAAGCTGGGTTTGTTTAGTTTGGAGAATAGAAGGCTGCATAAGAGATCACATTATGGTCTTCCAGTTCTTACAGGAAGCTCACAAGCAGATGGGGACTGACATTTTACACAGTCTGATAGTGACAGGACAAGCAGAACAACTTCAAACTAAAATAGGGGAAATATATGCTAGATTTGGGAAAAAAATTCTTTGCTCAGAGAGCGATGAGGTACAGGAACAAGTTGCCCAGAGAAGCTGTGGATGTCTGACCCTTGGAGGTGCTCTAAACCAGACTGGATGGGGCCTGGGGCAGCCTGAGCTAGTGGGTGATAGCCCTGCCCATGGCAGGTCATCCAGACAAGTGGTCTTCAAGATCCTGCCAACCTAAGCCACTCTATGATTCTATTCTTTTGTTGCCATGCAACAGATGGCAGCAGAGGGACAGTATGACAAAATGGCATCTGACATGCAAGCGCATAAGAAGCAAAGGCACAGAATTGAATTCCTCCACACAGAAAAAGTGGCAGCCACTGACATTCACTGGTTAATGTTTTTAGAGACCAAACAGTCAACGTGAGCACAGGAAAGTGGTGAGTGGTGTGTTTCAGCTGTGGTGACAGTGGGTCACCTCCACTGGCACAGGCCCAGCACACAACTTTTGTTAATCGCTGGTGAGGATGTATAGCTAATGGTGGTGACTGTGTTGAAAAATAGACCAAATTCTCAGCTACAAAATACTATCAAATAGTGTCATTGTGCTCTTTGTATCTGTTGTAGTAATGTAAATACTATGTTGTTTTGATATATACCTTAATAAGAAACTCATATATTAACAAAAAAGCCTAATCACCCTACAAGCTGATTATGAAGCCAAATATCCTTCATCTCTTTAGTCATCCATTTATGCTCACATTAACGACAAAGTTGAGTGCTATTTAGGCAAGAGTTCAGCACATTTGGTGTAAGAAAGCTCATGTGAAAATGTGACACAGCAGAATAAACACTATTCATTCAAGCCAGTAGACAGGTGGGGTATTTATGTAGTTGAGGGGCTTGTGCTGGATGTCACATAATGGGTAATATGCCCCCAGACAAATCCTTCTGTCTGCACTGTCTTTTCTAAAGATAAAGCAAGTATACATACTGACATGCTTATGGTTTTTTTTAAAAAAGCAGGCTAATATTTTTGTTCTTAACAATTCAGTAGTGTATGGAAAATACATCTAAGGCATCCATCCACTATTAGTATAGAACTGCTAGTTACAGAGTGCCAGGAACAAGGAATTGTTAGCAGCTAGCATCAAGACCAAAAGCAAACCAAGTATCAAAAATAAGGGGTACGCTCTGTGACTAAATCAAATGCCTCACCAGAACACAGGAATTTTAATTGCTGCATTCCAGTAAAGCTCTGTTTCACTACAGAGGGTTTTCTGCTTATTTTCTTTGAATCAAAGTGTTTGTTGGGTGTAATACTGTATAAAGAATATCTATCCAAAAGGTTTTCAAGTAGCTTCTTTCATGTATATGGATCTTTTTCAAATGGGATTCAGGCTTAAAAGGTAAGGATGTCCAATCTTTTCTAATGCTGTTAGGCAGTGAATTAGTGCATGGTACTGTCAGACAGTTTTATTTAAAACTAAGCTTATATTGCAAAAGATACTATACACAGTTGTCCTGTCAGAAACTTCTGAAACTCCAGCAGTGTTATTTTCTTAGCAGAACCTGAGATTTGGAAAGATGTTTCTGGCAAATTCAAAGAAAGCAGATCCACTACTGAGTAGGTTCATCTTCAGCTGAAAATACGTTGCTCAAAAATAATTTTCTCCTGAAATCTATCTTTGCGTTTCCTGCCTCCTTCTAGCAAGTTCAGTTGCTTCAAAAAAACTGAAAGTCCTCCATTTCTGCGCTCAGTCTCCTACAAGCATTCTTTTTCAAACTCATCTTGCAAGCTTTCCTCTAATGACTGCCAAGCAGTCATGTGAGAGAGCCAGAACTGGGAAGAAACAATAAACCTGCACTTGCAGAATTACCCCAGCTCATAATGCACACTGCTTTAACACTGACAGTTAAACACTCAGATGACGTAAGGAGAGCCATAGTTTCTTAAAGCAGCTTCTATAAAAAGTCTGCATGTGAGGGAGAATTACTTCCCTCACACTTTCTCTCTTTCTGTCCTCCCAGCAAACATAATTCTTATTATTCTTCTATAGGTTTAGCTGTTAGGATTTTAGCTATATGATTTTACTAGACACTGCAAGAACAGATTTCTAGATACCATCTACCAGCCATTTTAATACTACTACGTAAGTTGTTAGGATTTCAAAATACACAGTTCCTTTTGGTCCACTTTCTACCATCTTTAATAAGTGGTTACTTAAGTAACTTTAATAAGTGGTTACTCTGAACATGAGCCAGCAGTGCGCTCTGGCAGCTCGAAAGGCAAATGGGATCCTGGGCTCCATCAGGAGAGGGGTGGTCAGCAGGGACAGGGAGGTGATTGTCCCTCTCTACTCGGCTCTTGTGAGGCCCCATCTGGAGTACTGTGTCCAGGTGTGGAGCCCTCAGTACAAGAAAGACATTGAGATTTTGGAAAGGGTCCAGAGGAGGGCAACTAAGATGATCAGGGGGCTGGAGCACCTCCCCTATGAGGACAGGCTGAGGGAGTTGGGCTTGTTCAGCCTGGAGAAGAGAAGGCTGCGGGGTGACCTCATTGCAGCCTATCAATACCTGAAGGGAACCTACACCCATGAGGGGAGTAAACTCTTCAAAAGGGCTGACAACAGCAGGACTAGGGGAAATGGATCCAAGTTGAAGGAGGGAAGATTTAGGTTGGATGTTAGGGGGAAGTTCTATACAAGGAGAGTGGTTAGGCCCTGGAACGGGCTGCCCAGGGAGGTTGTGGATGCCCCGTCCTTGGATGTGTTTAAGGCCAGGTTGGACGGGGTCCTGGGCAACCTGATCTGAATGTGTGTGTTTGGTGGCCCTGCTAGGCAGGGGGGTTGGAACTACATGATCCTTGAGGTCCCTTCCAACCCGGGTGATTCTGTGATTCTGTGATTCTGTGTTACTTGTTACACTCTACCGAAATACTTAGTTTACATGCTTTGAAAAAGAGACCAGGGATGAGACTAATTAAAATTTGGCTTATATACACAGCGTAGATTCCTTGGATACAAAAAGTGCAACTCTGTAGTCAACTCAAAAAATCCGAGACACAAATGAAACACTCAAAGCAAACACTTCAAAGTCTTGGAAGTCTGCAGATACAGAGATCCATTTATGGAAACTCAAAAGATACAGTGTCTAAGAAGCAGCGCTTTTTTACAACCTCTAAATATAAGCAACCCTTAAAGATCCCACTTTTATTTAGACTAATACTGTTTATGAAATACAAATTAATGCATTAAAAGATTTCCTCTTTACATTTGAGAAAAGCCAAATGAGTCCAATTTGAGTCCGTAAGTCTCGAAAAGCTAAACATTCATTGAATGATAAGATCAAAATGCCCTCTGTCTTTTCAAAAACTAGTTATCAACTATCACTGTCTACCTACATTCAGGCATCAGTGGAATTAATTATTTGTTCAGACAAGAACATGCTTTGTGGATACAGATTCACCAGATTCATGGGGATAGAATTTTAAGATGAAAAGCCTCTGAGATTTCCAAGGCTGCCTTCTACCTCATAAGAATATAATAATCAAACTACTGCACGTTGTTTAACTACCTCCATTCAAAAATACAGTGGAGGAGGCTGCTGCTTTAGTTTTAAGCAGAAGCTGTGAAAGAACTAATTAAGTTCAAGAATTAAGTTTTTACACTTCCTTAAAGCAAACTAAAACATTCTTGGTTTGATAACTGTATATAGAAGTCATGACTTCTAGGTCAATAATATTCTACGATTTTATGAAATATTTTACAGAAAATGTATCTTCTAAAGTCAAAAAATTTTCTTTCCTCTCTCTAGCTTCAGTAACAGCAAGACATTTTCTTCACCCTACACTTGTACCTAAAACACAAGAGCCTTAATCATAAAAATAGATTTGGGCCATATCTGTCTGCAGTAGTTACAAGGTGAATTTCAAACATGTTCAAATTTTATAAATATGTATTTAGCATGAAAATGCTGTACATTACCATCCTGCATTCTCCAAAAGGTTCCGTGCAATGGGCTGTGGCACTGAGCAGTTGTAATAACCCATGCCTATATAGGATCTCCATATCTTGTTCTTGCTTGCTATATTGTATAATGTTTCAAGGATTTCATTTTCACCTAATTGAGAAAAAGCAACATCAGAAAACTTCAGTTACACACAACACTAACAGATTTTAACTAAAATGCCTTGTATAAAATATTCCTTCATATAGAAACTTACCAGTAGTGACTGACGCAGGAACAATAACAGAGTGAGGCCAAAATGTTAAAGCACTATGGGAAAGCTTAAATTCTACAAAATATGAGCATTTGTCCCCATTAATTTTAAGAAACATCTGATATGGATACATCTGAACGGAAATATTTATATTACTTTTCCTCTATTGTCCTACCACATTAATCAGATTTGACAGCTCAGTCATAAATATTCCATTTTAGGCAGTTACTCTCTCCAGAAAATGCAGTTTCACCACTGTGAAAATAATAATGAGAGAAACATGTCTTGTGGAGTTCTTTTTGTGTAAGGCAATGTGCATTCCAGGTTTTTTGCATATGCGTTACAGTACATCTCAGAAGGAACCATTCATGAGAGAACTTTTTTTTCCCCCCCTCTACAGACGTTAGGCACTTTCCCTAAACAGCTGATCAAATGGAAAAGTTTTATTCATTCAATATTAAGTTTCCTTCAGAGGTTTATTTAATTTAAAAAAAATAAAAAAATAAATGTGAACAGACATTTCTAGCTTAAGAAATTCCATTCAAGATTAGCTTGAATTAGAATCTGCCAATCTAGCTTAGCAATTACAATAGAGCACTTTTGAAGTGTCCAGATGAAAGGTGAATGCAAGTCCTGTCTCTCCCAGCTGCAGTCCAGTTTTGCTCTTGCTTCAACATACTTCTCACTGATCATATGCCCATACAAAAATCATGTACTGTCAAACCCTCTAGCAAATAACTCTAACCAACACCAACCAAAAGGAAAGACTCACCAACTACCTTAACCTTAATACTCGAGGATGCAGAATGTGGTCAGTAAGCTTTGTAACAATATGAGGAGGGATAACCATGCCCAACCTAACAAACCTGGTGGAACTGGACACCAAGCCTCCTAGATGAGGTGCTTGGAAAGATTTTTTTTTTTTTTTTGTTACTTTTCCCCAATTCTGACCCTGGAAACTGCTGTGCAGCAGCAGTACCGTAGTTGCACTGAGTTATTCTGTCTGTTCTGCATTACGATCTGAAAGTCAGACTTTGGAATATGAGGCTATAAATCACCAACACAGAAAAACTTGAGCCCTGGATATTTCAAAATTTGTTTCTCACTGCGGGTTACTCCATCAGAAGAGATCAAATATTTGATACTCTAGAAACTGCTGGCAAATTATTTTCCATAGGAAACATCAAGTTCATGAATTTATATCTTCTGCAGACATAAGACACAATCACTTCATCTCTGACTTCAAAACTTGTGCTTCCCCTTTTACTCCTAGAGCTGACAGTTCATTTAATATGTAAAAAATTAATTAATTTTTTCCTTCAATTAGTTTCTTCCACAGTCACCTAAATGGCAGTAACACTTCTACAAAGGTGTTTTTTGTTTTTTTTTTTTTTTTTATTTTTTTTTTAACAGATCTTCAGTTTCAATCACAATTTTCTTCATCCTTTCTCTGCCTCTTAGTCACTGTTACATTTAATGTATAATGTTTGATTTCTTGCTTTTGGTGAACTGTTGCAATTTTCCTGGATGCTCAGGAGTCATGTGTTTATTTCATCTCAGCCCTGTCCAAAGCAAAGTTTCTAAATAGCAGTGAAGTTCCATTCCTCCATACTCCTGCTACACTGCTTATTCCAGACATTTTTTTTTTCTTTTTACTACTTTTACCACCTTTTTTCCCTTTTCTTTTAGTGAAAGCTTTAGCACTACAGATATTTTCCTCTATCATTTGCAAGCCAAAAAGAAAGATGTTCTTGATTTGAAGGAGAGCATTGTATTCTTACAAAATTCTAACTTCAGCAATTTTTTGGAAATTCCAATGTCTTTGTTTATTTGACTCCAAATTGAGCCAAAGGCAGAGGCAGGCTATCATTTAACTTGCCCACTAGTCTGATGTCATACCACAGTGCATCAAGAGCATGAATTCCATAGTGAGCACATACCACAAGTACTGTACTGTATGCCGATAGCACTCCCTTTGCCTCATTGAACAGGTAATCTAGAAAGTTAAGAGTTACTCCTCAGCAAACACAGCTAACAACTATCACATGCACACACTGAACTTTTGCTCCCTGAAATAACACTAACATTTCCATACTAATCCAAGGAACAATGGAAAGAGCCTTAGTGAGACTGTAAGCAGCTCAAGAAGCAATTAAACTTCCAAGCGAAAGGCAGAATGGCATTCACCTGGAGGAGCTGCACAGGCAGACCCCAACACTGATTTTAGGTATAGTTGTACAAGTTATCCCTGGAGACAGTCAAATAATTACTTTTAATCAGGGTCCTCACACTATGGCAGGGTGAAGCCTGGCCTGAGCCCAGCAGGGCCTTCTCTGGGCACGGTGGAACTGCAGAGTTCCTCGAGGCCTCACCAGGTCCAGCAGGACCGCAGTTCTGTTGCCCATCAGCAGCAGCTATGGCATTCCCCACTGCACCTAGCCCAACTTCTAACAGCATGTTCCCATAAGGTGACCTGTGAAATGGGGCTGGCATTGCACTGACTGCTTTGTGTAAATGACTAACAACAGCAGTAAGGCAGAACAATGATGAGTAGTTCTACGTATACCTAAACATCCCTTCTTCTATTTAAAACCAAATGGCTGAGGTCTCAGTTTGGTCAGCCAGAACATGAGTAAATCCAGAGAATTACAGATTCTTTCTGCTGTATAGTATGCAGACTTTGGGGCACGCATAGCAAAACACTGTATTCTTGTGTATATTTAAAGCTAATATATGTGAACAAGACTAGTATTTCATAAAGATTCAAAACACGTGCATTAAAAACACCTACCTCAGTGTCAGGTTTCCAATTTCTTTAAGCTCTCCTCGGCAGTGAGAGAGATAAAGAAGTATCCAAAATGTGGAAATAAAAAGAATTGACTACTGCTAACAGTGGGAAACTGGCCATTGCACAGAGATATTTTCCAGTTTTCTAAAACAACACGATTGAAACATCTTTATCTGGAATTCACTTCATTGGTAATAGTCTACAAATCCTTTAGGAACCTTATTCAGCAGAAAATAAAATTCCCAGGTAAGTTATTACAGTTGATCTTTATTCCCCTCATCATTACATCAGATAACATGATCAGAGATAGTATACCAGAAGAAAGTTCATTGATCCTGCATTACTCTTATCAAATAACTGAAGGGAAAACTCAATGAAGTTCCCACTAGGATTTCAGTGAGAATACTTCAGGGCTGCTACTATGACATCCACAGATGGAAAAGGCAAAATGCATCACAAAAATATTACATGGGAATGAGCTATTTGGTCATAAAATGACAATATTATTATTCCTGCTAATGTTTCAGTGGTTAGTGTAGCAGTTGCTTTTCATTTGGTATCTGCAAAAAAATATGGTACCCAACAAGGCTGGGAAAGGGAGAGGAATCAAGACAAGAGGAGAAGACTGAGATACACAACTTAAAATCTACAGTGTAAAAGGGAGGAGATTATTTCATCATTTTGCCACTATGCCAGGCCTCAAACATATTTATTTTTTTTTTTAAGCCTTCTGATATCAAGGAAGCAAGATCCTCACAGCAGTTGCTACAAGAAAAAAGGCCATGAGCTCTCTTGCATTAAAAATTAATTTTCTTAACAAAACCACCATATACTGAAGTGGAAAAGTTCCAAAGCACTTTCAGACATGCATTAACACTGCAGAACAGCACACAAGAGCCTGCTCCAGGTGCTGAGTCCTACCATCCAAAGGAAGCTATCATTTATAGAAGTGTATAGCAAGTGTGGCAACAAAAATTGCTCTCCTATGTAACCCTTGGGTCACACAAAATTCTATAGCAGTGTTCATTAGGATCGTAGCTATGTTACTTCATGTTCACACCTGCTAAGCCTAAAGCTATAAAATCTTCAGAAAATTAAAACAATTACAGAGACGTACGACACTCATCCATCACACTGGTGGTATATGCATGGTTTTCCTGGGCTACAGATCTAATTTTAGCCTTAAGTAACAACTTCAGCAAGACTTCAGGGTAAGCTCAGCTGCATTTCCCTGTATGAAGGAACAGGCTGAACGCAGCTGATTTGCCCAGCTGCAGGCTGATCTGGGCAATCATTACGGTTTTATTGTTTGCTTTTTTGTACAGAAAAAGAAATGATGTATATATTTAAACTGTTAGGAATCGATGTATCAGGAACTTGATAAACTGTCACTGAACAACACATTCTGAATTGTCTTGCCCTGTTCTCCCTTACGTGAATGATATCTGGAGATGGTGGGAGCAGAATTTTCACCCAAATGAGAAGAACATGTTTAAAGCATGGTTTAGTAGGGTAATATCAGTGGTAGGTGGATGGTTGGACTGGACGGAGGGCTTCCCCTACCTTGGCAATTCTGTAATTCCAAAGGACAAAAGTTCTCATGTCACTTTCCTAGTTTTGCCATCTCCTTTTAATACAAGGCAGTGGATAGAGAAATCATATACCATACTGACATAAGGAATCCTACACTAGTGATAAGAAAGCAGTGTTCTCTCTAATGATGCATTAACAGGGAGGTAAGCTTTACTCAGAACAGAGAGCTCTGGGTCCAAAATATTCAATGAGAAGTTGCACTGTAAGTAGAGGCCTCCAACTATTCTTTTACAATCTGTAGAGTTTCCCACTGCCAACAGAGGGGAAAGCTACACAGTAAGTTACAAAGGCAGTCAGCCTCCATGCTGAGGGGAGAACAAAGACAAGCAGCAGTGCACAGACAGAGGTTTTCAGTGCTTCATCTCTCTTGAGAACTCATTGCACGTAGTGCAAGATGGCATCATAGCCACGTTCTGTCAGATTTTGCTGTAAGGGAATTTGAACAGCGTAATAAATGGAGGAAAACACACCATTGGCTCACAGGTCCCACTGCAAGTGAGAGCCTATATGTAACAGGACATCACTAATTCATGGTGATGTGGGAGGGAACTGCTTCAAACAGACCAGTGTGCATTCACACACATAAAACTGCAAAAGGATTTTGGTTTAAGCCAGCATCGTTGACTTGTATTTCGTTAGCACACAATTACTGTAGTGCCAAACTGTGCTATATCACAGTTCTGCACGTTCGCAACCTCAAATTAAATCCAGAAATTGGAGAGGCGGTTATTTGAGATGTGATTATTACTGACAACCTACATTTACCCCCACTCCTTTTTACTTAAAAAATAAAATTTAAAAAGCTCCTTGCACTAGGGGTTAAATAATGACAACTCATCAGTCCGGGAAAATCCTGACCCACATATATTAACCATAGCAAAACATGCTGAGCAGTAATTGCAGCATTCACACAGACGAAAGGAAGTGACTGAATTCCACCTCTCTCGCTGTTCCCACACGACAGGAAAGTACCAGGCACTCACAGGGTGTTTCACCAGCAGGATCCATTCCCCCACCAACACTAGGCCGCATCCCCACAGGCCCCAGCTTCCCCCACAATCCTATTACTGGAAGTAGTGGTGATGCCACCTGGGACTCACACAGAGCCCTGGAGGCCTGCAGTGACCAAGCAGTGAGGACCCTGTGCCCAAGAACTTGGGCAGAGGATCCAGGTACAGATGTGATGCTGACACTGATGGAAACACCCCTGGTACCTGAGCGGACACTGCACACCATAAATTTTGGTGGAAGTGTTGAGTTCAGTGTGTTTTTAAGTGTTTCCTTCGCTTCCTGGGCTCGCAGGACGATGTTTGTATGTTAAGACTGCAGACAGAGATTTCACGCAGTGATCGATAACTTCAAGGCGTCAGTATTTGAGGATTCACCAAGCAACGCCAGTTCTGAACAGCAGCTCGCGCGGAGCTCCGCGCTGCTGCAGCTCACCCGTCCCCCCAATCACTGCCTCTGCTCTCGGCGACCAGGATTTAGCACGCCGTTACTACACGCTACTCGGGGAGGGGGGAAGGACACACAAAGAAGTCTTGCAGACAGATGGCAGCCCACCCGAAGCAGCACTTGGAAGGCACGGTTTTTGGCCACGCCTTTCCCTCCGTATGGGGCTCCTGGGACAAAGCAGTAGCATCGCATCGCCGGGAGCAGACTCTTACGAGTTTTCCTCCCTCCTGAGCCGGGGAGAAGGAGGATGAGCTACAAGGGGACGCAGCCGCCGAGCGCGGAGGCCGCCCGGGCAGCAGCGGGGCCACTTACCGACGTGGTCGTCCATCCTTAGCGGTCTCCGCAGCCGGATGCTGGCCGGGATGGTTTTATCCATCAGCTCCTCGACGCTCTGCAAAGAGGCGGCCGCACAGCATTGTTAGCCACCCCGCATCGCCGCAGCTGCGCGGCGCCCCTGCCGCAGGCACCCACCTGCACCCCGACGGCGCGCAGCATCTCCCGCTTCTCCCGCTCCCGCGGGCCGATGTGCCGCCGGCAGAAGTCATCGTGCCGCGGTAGCAGCTGCTCGATGCACCGCGCCGCCTCGCCGCTGCCCCACCGTCGCTGCTGCCGCGGAGGGCCTCCCGCCACTGCCGCCGCCGGCCTCGGATGCCGCGGCGCCCCGCGGGCCGCTAGCCGCCCCCACCAGTGCCCGCAGCGCTGCATGGCCCCGCTAACACCGCCCCGCCACCGTCGGGCACCGCGCTTTGTGGCCGGGGAGGGCGGTGCGGCGCGGCCCCCGCCGCCAGCGCCAATGGGGAGGAGAGGCGGTGCCGCGCTCGCCCCTCCTCGCCGCCACCTGATCTTCACACCCCTGGCCTGGCCGACCCGCCCGGCCCTGACCCCGCTCCGGCCCTCCGAGGGATGCGGAGGTGGTCGGGCGTTGAGTCGCTCTCCGGCCCGGAGGCTGTAGGAGCAGATAAGGAAAAATTCTCCCGCCCGGCGTTTTGTGCGCATCTCTGAAGGGGGACAAGGCCGCCCCGCGCCTGGCCGCCCCGCTGATGGTCATTTAGTCATTCTGCTGGGCTGCAAAGGGCCGCCGCAGCCTTCATCTTCTCTTACTTCTGCAGCACTGTTAAATTCTCCCAGTGGACCCAGCAGTCTAAGATGGCACTGTGTTGCTGTGTACGTATGTATACATGCATAGCTGTGTCTTCGTCTGATGTGTCCAACCCCTTAACATTGCTCAGCACTGTGGTACCCAAATCTTTGCAATTCCCTACAGTGAACATCTGCAGGTGGCTTGGGCAGAGATGCTGGTGGCCAGCAAGACAGGCAAAGGCATTCTGGCAACTTTATGCCATTGACTCAGGAGCACCTACAGCTAGATCAGTTTGCTTAGAGCCCTGACCAGCCTGACCCTTAATGTCTCCAAGGATGAGGTATCCACCACCTCTCTGGGAAGCCTGTTCCAGTGCCTCACCCATGTATTGTAAAAGATTTCTTTCTTAAGTGCAATCTAAATCTTTCCTTTAGTTTGAAAAACTTGTCCTATCACAGCAGACCCTACTAAAGAATCTGACCCCTTCTTTCTTATAGCCCCCTTTAAGATACTTAAAGTTATCCGGTCTCCTGGAGCCTTCTCTAGGCTGAACAGCCACAGCTCTTCCAGCCTGTTTTCCTAAGGGAGGTGTTTGATCCCCTGGATCATTTCTGTGGCCCTCAACTGGACGCACCTCAACAGGTCTGCGTTTCTCATTTTTTCTCACACTCTGATCATCTTGTTCTCCTTTCAAGGCACAGACGGTCTTCAAGAGCTGTTTTCCAGCAGAGCTTTCAGAAGACAGAATTTGAAGGCGCTTGATATTTTTACGGATGTAATTTTCATTATAGGTGTCTGAGATCTCTCTAATCAAAGCAATCACTCTTCTAGATAATTAAATCACTACTGGATAGTATTTTCTTTGTTGCCGTGGGTTGAATTGAATAGACCCAACAATAATAAGCAGAAATGTGGAATCAGCTGACTTTAAAGTAATGATGCAAACAGAATTATTTGGATAACATTTTGTAAATAATGTATATTATTTCTGTACTGTGGATCTCACCTTTTAAACCTCATTCTGAGGCAGTTTTTGTGGTACAGTGATGGCTCTTTGTTATGTACAACAGAGAGCCCCAGGAAGGAGCAGCAGTTGAGAAATCCCTAGGCACAAGCTAGCTCAAAAATCCTCAGGAACTCACCCCTCTGGTTTGGTGTGAAGCTGTAAGAAAGGTGGAGGGGACAGAGAGGAGGGCAGGAAGGGATCACCATCTGGTGCTGTGCCCTGCATAAGGCCATAATGCCTGCATAAGGCATACTGCACATCTGCCTCCACCTGCTTCAGCTTGGGGTGACACTGGGTCAGAGAGTGAGGTATGGAGTCATGATTTCCTCTGTTCAGTTCTGCCTCTTTGCAGATAGGATCCACGTAGTTACAAAAGTCTATCTTTATTCACAAGTAACAGAACAAAGTGGCTTTTGAGGAGAGGCCAACTTTTAAACAGAATAACAATAACAGATAAAGTACATTCCCAATAGATACATTGACTTCATCCTGATTGCATGATGGTTTTTGCTGCTTGCCTTCTGAATATAATGAGATAACTAATCATTTCTTCTATGAAGTATTTCTTACAAATAAGCCATTACAGACAGCTCATGTGAATTAGTAGCTCTCTTAGGATTGTTTGCTCAAATGGGACCACATACTGCTCTAGAAAGTGCAGTCTTGAGAGAATATAGAAGCCTACAAGGAATCTCAAACCATGTATACTCACATTGCTGATTCTTCCAGAAATAAATCCAATTTTAGTTCAACTTGAAAATGATGCCTGGGAGGGGTGAGACTGGAGAAGTGTGGAGGTGAAAAAGGCTGCAGTCTCAAGACATAGACACTTCATCTGGAAAGCACCACAGTCAGAGTGGTTGGTTGATACTAAGCTTTCTCCTTCAGAAACTCATTTCAGCTCAGGCTATGTGCAGTCACTGTGGCAGAGATAGAAGCCTGGCCAATATTGAATAATTGGCCAAACTCTAGCTGCCTCCTGAAAATTGTATGATGGCATTAACAATCAAGATAGCAATCCTGAATGAGAGACGTAATAGAAAATGGAGCTCTGGTGTCAAGATAAAAAAAAAAAAAAAAGTATTCAATCCTGTAGCTTCAAACAAGTGTATCACTTCAAAGTATATTGCCAATAAAGCATGAGATGGGCCTGAGGATGCCTATCCACAGGAATCAAGAAAGAAGTGTGATAGAAAAGAATAAAAGATAGAGTAAGCATTCCGATTCACCTCATTTTTTTTCTTCAGATGACTATTAGTTGTTTACAAGTAGGTATCAGAGAGACTGAGAATTTAATACTGACTGAGACCTGCAACAGAGTAAAGTTTTGAATCAGTAGTTTGTAGAATGACTGTTCAAACGGGAATTGCACAGCATATTACCTTGTGCTGAAGTCTGGAGTGAGAGGATAGCATATTAGGCCTTCCAGAGGTTGAACGTATCTTACAAGTGTGAGATAAAGAAATGTGATAAAGATGGGTTGTTCAGGTACACTAAACACACTGATCATCACAGCATTGCAGGAAGACAGTGTGGTGGAATAGGGAGGGATATTACTGAAACAGTTGCCTATAATTGTATATAAAAATAAATTTCAGAAACTTGAAGCAATAGAAGTAGCTGTTTTTGCACACACATGAGAAGGAAGGAAACTTCCCAGAAGAAAAGATAGGATTGCAGTGTTTCATACTAAGGCTATTAAATTGAAAAAGATCAGAGATGCTTATGCATTCACGTAGTGAGCACACTCAAGTAATTAGACAGAGCTTGGACACCCAAAGCTTGACCTTTGATATGATTTTGCTGGAAAAAGTGTGTAATTGGTAGCAGCAACATAACTAAACTTTTATGAGAATAGTCCCCTGGTGAATTGCTGTACAATCAATAAGAAGCAGCTTAGAGCAACCCAAAATGTAGTGGTCAAAGAGCCTAGAATATACTATTTCTCTTCATAAACCTTCTGCACCTCTGAAGTCTATTTCTGACATTGTATGATTGCAGATGCCTAAAGAGGAATACAAAGTAAGTAAAAAAAGGTTATAGGTACTTGTCCCAGGTATTTCATCAGTCAGTCAGCACTGTGAGAATTCTCTATAGAAAGGTAGATAGATAGATAAATAAATAGATAGATAGATAGATAGATAGATAGATAGATAGGTAGGTAGGTAGATAAAGAAATCTAAAGTTTATTTCTCAAATTTGTTGAGCTGCCAACCAAACTCTGTAAACTTCTAGTGAAATACATAGGATGCTCCAAAAGCAACGTCTTTTATTTATTTCCATGCAAATTACAGCAGATACAAAGAACACAATGACACGGTTTGATAGAACACATTCTCAGATACAAAATGTGTTTTTCGATGTGGTCAACATTATTAAATACGCATTTTTACCAGTGATGAACAAAAGAGCTCATGCCAGTCTTGCACTAGTGGCAGCAACCCACTGTTGCTGTTACCACTACTGAAACACACTATCACCACCTCACTGTGCTCACATCCACTGCTTGGTTTCCAGAAATGTTCAGCAAGTGTTGATGAATGTCAGTGGTGCATTTTTTTCTCTGTAGAAGAGCTAAATCACACTTCTGCTTCATATGCACATCCATGTCAGACATCCTGTCTTCAGACTTCCCTTCTGCTGCCATCTGTCACACAGCAACAAAATGTACGGGAATATTGGTGGGAATGTTGAACCTCTACTGCTGTACCACCAGCCACCACCTCTGACACCATGAGCCAGAATAATAAAATAGGAGGCATTAATTTTTAAGCAGTTTTGTCAACATAATGGGTCGTTATTCAAGATCAGTCACTTCATATTTCACAGCCTACTATTCCTTAAAGCCACAAAAAACTATTAAAATAGTAAGGACATTGCAACAAGTAAAACAATACAAAACATGTATGTATCAGTGCAGACTGACTCTGACGTATGCTGACCTCTGTCCTGATGTAAGATTTTTTTCCATAGAAATTGCTCAACAGAAATAATTTTTTTTTTTTTTTTTTTTTTTCTGATTAAATGGTCACTTCTGCTGGCTTTTTAAAATAAAATTATCAGCCATGACCAGGGCTTTCAAAGGTCTCTGGTATATCAGGAATCCTACCAAATAGCCTCTCAATTGCCAGTCTTATCAGGAAAGTCAGTCCAGATAGAGGACATCCTCATTAACACAAATCATGAAATCACTTTACCAGCAGAAACACAAGAGGTGCAGGACATCTGTTTCAGCACAGCTATTTCTAATTCTATTTGCACTGAATTTGTACAAGTTATGGCTTGGAAATTTCATTTGTTTGTTTGGTTGGTTGTTTTATTTTTCTTCTTCTCTCCCTTTTTCCTCCAATACTAAACTATTGAAAGGAGAAACAAATCGCAAAAACCTTCGTGTGCATGTTTTATACATATACTTGTAGGCAGATAAATAATAGGAAACAAAATAACAGTCCTTAGAAAACAAAAGTTACAATACACAGATGTACTGTGGTGATCACTACCTTTTGAGATGTCCTTACTAAGCTTCTTTATCCTCATGAAATACTAAAACTCTAGCATGATTATTTGCTTAAAGTAAAAAGGATTCTGGCTGTTTTTATATAAATAGTATAGACTTTT